CCATCTAACCCAATTTTATTTTCGTCAGGTACTAAAAACTTTTTCCCTGCGTCGCCATGGCCTCGCTCTCCGGAGGGGAGGGCGGCGGCGGCGGCGGCGGTGACGATAACGGCAATAACGGCAGCTTAACCAAATCGCCTACAATGCCCTTTGCGCTTACCCCCCGCTGTTCTTAACATTGATCCAGGGCCTCCCAACGCTACTAACGCTGATTTTCCTCCTGATTCCCCTTCTTCCGTCCATTTTGAGTCGACATTCCAATCTCAATCTCTTTTAGAGAATCTTTGCAGGGAAGCGGGAATCAACTTGCAAACAACGCAACTTAACAGCAATGTTTCAGTTACGTCGGTCAACAATATCGAGGGCGAACTATCGCTTGAAAACTCAAATCGTGCATCGATAACTTCGAGCATCTTGACAGAATCGCCAATGGAAGTTGAAAAGTGGCAGACACAAAACAGAAAGCGATCACTACAGCAAACCACGAAGGACGGCGGTTCTCATAACGACCAGGCAACCCCTGCCGCCAAGAAAAGCGCAAGTCAGCCTACATCAGCATCGGCATCCGTTACGCATGTTTCAGTGACGCAACCCCTTATGGATTGCACCGCAAACAACGACCCGTCGCTGCACTCTAACCTAAAAACAGGTGATGGAATTCCACTACGCTATGCTTCACGAGATGCGGGACCTTTTGTAGTGTACGTATATCCTTGCAATAGGGACGGCTCTGCGCCGCCCCTACATTCTGTACTTGTCAGCAGAATTATCGCTAAGGCTGGCATAGCCGACATCCAGGAAATTAGAAAGATAGGTAGAGGAAAGATCTTAATAGTCGTCAAATCTGCCTCTGCTGCAAATAAGCTAGTGGAGAATAACATTTTTCCAAAACATAATCTCCGCGCCTTCATTCCAGCTTTCAAGGTCCTCAGAACGGGAGTCGTGCAGGATGTCCCTCAAGAAATAGACTTACAGATTCTCAAAGAGAGCATCGAGTCGCCGAGGGCAAAAATCTTGAATGTGCAGAGACTCAACAGAAGAGTCATTAAAGAAGGCAAGGTCGAGTATGTTCCATCCAGAACAATCCGAATCAGATTTGCAGAACAATTATTGCCACAAGAAGTCTTCATTTATAAGGTGAGACACGAGGTTCGTCCCTTCATCCCAAGGCCAAGGGTATGCAATCAATGTCATAGAATAGGCCACGTGAGTGCAGCATGTAAGGGAGCTCCTAGATGTTTGTATTGCGGCGAAAACAAACATGATTTTTGCCAGCAGCACGAGGAAACCCCAAGGTGCATTAACTGCAATGGCAATCACTGGGCTAACGACAGTAACTGCCCCATTATTCGCAAGCAACGTGATGTAGTCAGCTTAGCAGCTGTAGAAAATATTTCTATCGCAGACGCCAGAAATATAGTCGATGGCAGATCCTCGTTTCCCACCACATCTCCGTCAAACTCTGACAATAACTTTCCAAGTCTTCCTCGTAGCAAAAATAGCGAAGATTATTTTGCTAGCTATAACAGATTTAGTCCTTTAGAGAGGGAAGAACCAGCAGAACAACAAGGAACTTACGCTAACGCTTGGAAATCCCATCCTCGCACTCGCATTCCTCCGCAAAGGCCTAATGGCAACATACAAAGGAACGAATCTCCTCCTCAAGCAAGTCTTTTTAACACGACTCAATACGACGCAGAGGCTCACCGCAACTTTCTATATGAACCTAACGGTAGGTCCCCCCGCAACACGGGCAAAGGTGGAATTTTTCAAAGGACTCCTCCTGCGCAAAACGGATTTGGCAGATCAGGCTCTAGTAATGAAGATAATAATAATAATTTTAGCTTTATGGAGCTAATTCCTCTAATCTCGGAAATTTTCGCCCATTTCCAGAATAATAATTTCGCTGAAGTTTTTAACGCGGTTGTCAAATTCATAAAAAAATTAGACTATCTTTTTCATCCCCCCCATTCACTACCCCCCTCCCCCTACGGTGGGGTAAGAAACGCTCCTCCCCCTTCAGAATACAATCAGTATAGCTATTATACACAATCCACTATCGACACTCGGGGTCCCTCGCACGAAGCAGAATATAGCTATGGCTGTTTTCGGAACTAATTTTAATCTTTCACAAGAACTCAGCTTTGCATCCGCTAAATCAACTGACAATAACACATCTTCCTCCACGAACTTGCATATTTTTTCCAATCAAATCATAGCGTTGCCGTCGCTGGAATTCCGAGAGAATAGGAGACCGAGTCCAAGGGATTTCGGATCTAACAAGAGGAGAAACAACTCTCTAAAAATTTTTCAGTGGAACTCACTGGGAATCCGACATAACCTCCCATCGTTAATGGAAGCAGCAAGAGACTTCGACATTCTTTGTGTGCAGGAAACTTTTCTTAAACAAAATCATGCCTTCCGTGTGAAAGGTTATAAAGTCATCAGAAAGGACATCACCCAATTAGGAGATAGAGGTATCTGCGTCATCATCCGCGAAAATATTAAGCATGAAATTCTTAACCTCACGTCCATTGCGCACTCTTCAGTTGAATTTATGGCTATCAGGATTCCTTATTCTAAAACGGATTCAATAGTTATCATTAATTTATACAGGCACCCTGGCCAAAAAACCCCTTGTGCCTTTTTCGACTCCTTAGTTGGCGAAATACAAAAATATAAATATTATATTCTTCTAGGTGATTTCAACGCTCACCATGAGACTTGGGGCTGCACACGGCAGTCAACTGCGGGAAGAATGCTTATGCGTGTCATCGAGAAATACGATCTTATCACCCTCAACGATACTACCCCCACTGAACTGCGTTCATCCCACAGTGCTTCAGTAATCGATCTGGTTTTGGTGTCCCCACAGCTCGCACCAATATGCAATTCTTATGTAGAATCTGACACTTTTGGGAGCGATCATTATCCTGTCATCACCACCATAGGCATTCAAGTCTCTTTAAAATCCAAATTTTCATATAAGATCTCTCTCAACAAAGATCAATTCAACTCCTTTTATCGGGACCTAAAAAATCAAGTTAAAAATGTGCCTCCATTAGAGGGCAAGAACGGGACTGAATCTTATGAAATGTTGTTGCAAATGATTATGGACGCTGCCAAATGTTTTCTTCCAGAGGGCAAACGAACCCCACGTATTGTCACTTCTGCTCCAAAATTAGCCCCTCCTCCATGGTGGAACGAGTCGTGTTCAAACGCTGTTGAGTCCAGAAGGAAAGCCCTAAAAAATTTCACCTCGATCCCTTCCAAAGAAAATCTCATAGAATTTCAGAGGGCTCGCGACGACTGTTCTAGGAAACTTTCTGAACAAAAAAGAGAAGGTTGGCGTAAGCTTGTGAACAGCTTTAATGATAGGACTCCTTCTAAACAAATATGGTCCCTAATTAAGTGCTTTAACAGGAACGCAAGCGCTGGCTCCGGGACGGCTGGTGATCTTAGTGAGGCTTCGAGAGAGATCATCTCGAAGCTCTGCCCGCCGACTGCTTATTGCGACAGATCCAAATCTTTGGAAACAATGAAGCTAGACGACCGCCAGAGTTCACACGTCTTTACTTGGCTCGATGAGCCACTCACTGCTGAAGAATTCAGATGCGCTCTGATCTCGACTCGAAAAAATTCTGCTCCTGGACTTGATCAGATTAGCTACAATATTCTAGACCATATTCCCAGCGAATCACATCTTTTAATCACTTTTAACAAAATTTTCTCTGAAGGTACTTTCCCGAACACCTGGAAAGATTCTCTAGTGGTGCTTATCCCCAAGTCCGACTCTAAAGGGGTCAGACCAATTTCGCTTTTGTCTTGTGCTTGTAAACTTATGGAGCGCATCCTGTGTCGCAGATTGAGCTGGTTCATCGAGTCCAGACCTATTCTCCCGCAGACACAATCGGGATTTAGACCTTTCAGAGCCTGTTATGACAACCCGGCTACTTTGATCACTTCAATAAAGACTGGCTTTTTGAAACATTCGATTACGGTCGCGGTCTTCTTGGACATCGCAGGTGCGTTTGATAACGTGGATCCATACATCCTACTGGAGGACTTGAGAGCCATTGGGGTCCCAGCCCTCTTTAGAAAATTCATCGAAAATCTCATTTCTATAAGACACCTTACCTTTGTAATTGAAGGCGAGCCTCATGGTCCTTACACTACCCTTAAGGGTACACCTCAGGGTTCTACATTAAGCCCCTTGTTATTTAACATTTACCTTCGAGATCTTGGACAGCATCTGCATCAGGATACCCAATTCCTCCAATATGCGGATGATGTGGTTCTTTTTTCTACGCATAAGGACCTAAACAAGGCAATTGATTCAGTTCAAAAATCGCTAGATCAGATACATAATTATCTTAAATTTAGAAACCTGGAAATTTCACCTCCAAAATCCAAATGGATCCTTTTTGAACCAGGCAGGGCCTCTGAGTTGTCAAAGAGTCTTAAAGTTAATGGAAATTTAATTCCTAGAGTACATTCACATCGCTTTCTGGGTGTCTTTGTGGACTACAACCTGAATGGTAAACAACACTTAAAATACTTGATCGATAAAGGTAGAAAAATTTCAGTCATTGCATCTGCTCTGTCGAGCGTTACATGGGGTTCGCACCCGGGGCTACTTCTCACGATCTACAGAGCTACCTTCCGCAGCGCAGTGGAGTACGGCGCTCACCTTTTCACCTGGAGCTCATCGACTCCCGATTATATAAAACTCCGTCGATTGCAGTATAAAGTAATCAGGAAAGCCATGGGATATCGAATCTCAACACCCATTAACATCCTCCTAGCGAAAGCCAAGGAATGCGAACTAAGTATCAGATTCAACCTCACAGCCTCTAAGACTATTTATAAGTGCATGGCTAATAAATTCAGCATTGTCTATAATTCTCTGGAGGAAATGGAACTCACAGCGGTTGGAAGGAATAGCAAAGTCAAAGCCATAAAGGAATCAAGACTCTTCAAATCTTATGTTACTAGTCGTCATGAAAAATCCACCGTCTTCAGATCTACGTACCCGCCGGCATATTGGCACTCATACAAAGTCTTCTCTACCACAGTCAAGTATGTAGATACTATGCAGAGCAGGGACAAGAGCGAAAATCCTATATTGACTGTTGCAGATTTTTACCACAAGTCTTTCGAGTTCAGACAGAACGCTAAGGCCTTCTATACGGACGGATCGAAGAGTCCGGAAGGCGCAGTTGGTGCTGCGGTATACTCGCCGGAGCTGGAAGGTAGTATCAAACACAAGCTTCCCCTTGAAACCTCCATTTTCTCCGCTGAGCTCTAGGCCATCTACTAGGCTATTCTTGCTATTTTTGATCTTAACTTCCCTAAAAGCGTTATCTTTTCTGATTCAAGGAGCGCGTTGGATGCTCTTCAAAATTCCTCCAAGGTGCAACGCAATTACATAGTGTACCAAATCAGAAAAGCCTACCTAGACATTATAGATAAAGGCAACGAGGTCACCCTCTTTTGGGTCCCTGCACATTCGGGCATTCCCGGCAATGAATCAGCAGATCAAGATGCTAAGCTGGCGGCAATCGAGGGTTACAAACCTGACTTTAGAGTCCCTTACGAGGACCTACTGGTGGAATCACGTGCCCGAGCGGACAAACAGTTTCAAGAATATATGGAAGAGGTTTCCAGAACTAAAGGCACTCGATACTTCGAACAATTTCACACAATATCCAAGAAAACATGGTTTCATGAATCTTCGCTCTCAAGAGAAGAAATCGTTCTCATCAATCGTCTAAGATCCAACCATATTAATGTTAACGAGAGCCTACACAGGGTCAATATGACCGAGCTGTCCATGCGGCGACCCCCGTCAGACAATAAATCATTTAATCTTCCATTGCAATGAATTCTCTGAAAAATTTACCCCTATCCGAGCGTACATATAAAAGAAATTCCCAAATTCTCCTCAGGACCTCGTCCCCACCCTGCGCTCTCCTAGTCCCACATTCTCTCGTCTCCTTCTGGCCTACATGAAGGCCAATGACCTCTTTTTCTGACTCTTCTTTTGCTCCACTCCCCCTTCTTCTTTGGCGCGCAGTTCACCGCTGGGGGGCAGCAGGCGTCTGGATTGGGGGGGGGGCCACTATACTTTTATAACCATCATGGCTTACAAACCCACTTGCAAAAAATTACTAGCAACGCAGACCTCAATGGCCTAGTACCAACCCTTGGGTTGCCTGGCCAATAACTCAA